AAAAAAAAAAAAAAAAAAAAATCAAAGTGTTGATTAGAATTTATACAGCATGACTTAGCAGTTAAGAACAGGGCTCACCCACGTAATAGCTATATGACCCGCAGCAAATTATTAGTTTTATGGGCTGTTTTCTCATAGTTAAATGGTGATTTGAAAAGAAAAATAAAGTATCTAGTTTATAGGGGTGGCTGTAAAGACGATAACAAATAGTTTAAACATCTTAAAATATGTAAAATACTTTGAACAGTGCCTGGCATATAGAGTGGTCAATAAATGTTAAATGCTATTATTCCACATATCATAAATTTGGTAAAAGCGTAATGTTTAATGACAGAAGCATGTCTGAAAAGATGTTAAATCTACATAATGGCATATTAATATACAGTCGCTAAAATGTCTATGAAGATTAATATTAAAGAAATGCTTATATTAAGTAAAAAAGCATGATGCAAAAATGAATATAAGTATGATTTCAATTATGTAAAATATACATCAATACGTAGAAAAATAACTAGCAGAAAACATACCAAAATATTAAAAGCAGTTATTTGGGGTAGTAGAATTTGACCCGCTCGTTATTGTTTTCTATCATTAATCTTTTTAACCGTAAGAAGTTTTAAAAACAGGAAAACATCATAATTTTGAAAGGTTAAAATAAGGCAACAAATGGGTAATTTTAAAAATTTATAGAAATGCCCAAGTTTTTACATATAAATGATATAGCACAGAAATTATTGTGACTTTCCAAAACTTAATTTTTTCTGTTGAATTTACAAATATAGAGTATCATATTAATGCAAAATAAATATTACAAACTACATAAAGCAGTAAATGTCCCTTGGTTCAATCTGTTTATAAATGAGAGTGTGAAATGCAGCACAACAGTGTATTCCCCAACTCAAAGCAGCCGCCCACCCTGAGCAGCTGTGGCCCAGCTGATTCCAAACCCAGCTCCCTTCCAAGCCTGGGATCAGCCATTCTGCAGGAAGCTCCGCACCCGTTTCATCCTAGGCTCCAGAGGCGTATGCATTTTCTACCCATCAAACTACCGATTCCCATCCTATTTGCAATTTTCAAAGAGAACAACTCCTCTTATCTGTTTGTAAGAAAAAGGAAGAGATAAAGCATTCCTTTCATTCTGAATAAACTTAACAGAACACTTTTCAACTCTTCATATGACTTTCCTCTTCCTAAAAAACTTTAAGCCTGTGTTGCTAAACTCTGCCTTCCAAATTACCATACCCTATTATTAATACGCTCATTTCAATCAAAGTCTGCCCTTATAGCATTTGGTTTGTTAAATATGTATCAGCTGATGTAAGTATCATTTAAGACCTTAACTGGTTTTAACAATGGGATCAAAGAAGACAAATAATCACAATTTATAGGAGACTTGCAAACTTCTCCATATTCTTGATAATTAAAACTTTTCTGTAGAGCAAATCTCAAAAGAAACTTGTTATCGATCAGCATTTTTACCTAAACAGCACTAGGTTAGATTATGTATTTCAGCCATAAAGCTGAAAAACGATTCTAATATGTATCAGTTTTTCACCCAAACAACCACATTGCATTCTATAGGTCACTTATGATGGAATTTTAAAAAGTACAGTAAGCAGAACCTCCCCAGATGGTAAGGTGCTTTGTTGTTCTATGTGACATTTCTCATAACAAATCTACCTTTATAGACAGTCTATCAATTTAGCGAACACCAAACTTTACAAATTAATACAACACAATCTAAATGCACCATAAATTTATATTTGTTAATCTTGATATTATAACATTTAAACATTTCAAGCTACATAAAAAATACGACAAACAATATTAAATAGAAATTTGTTGACAACTTCCAAAGCATCACTATTTCTTATATTGCAATTAAGCAACAAGATAGCTTACAGTTCTCCAGAAAACATAGTGTTTTTAGTGGAGTATTATCAACAAAAATCAACACAATCCCACACAATCATGTCTCCAATTTATTATCTTTTCCACAGTACAAATTTTTCACAAACCGTAAGTCCTTGCAATTATTCAAAGTCTGTAAACAAGTGCCTGAATCCCCACACCCCCATTTCAGTTTAAGCTTGTGAATGTTTTAAGTCCTTCAATCAAGTTTCAACTCTTCCATTTGCATAAGGAATTATGAGCCTTCTCTCTTTAAATTATTTATATTTTATCATACAGCCTGCAATGCAGTAAATCACAGTGAAAGCCCTGGGGAAAACAAAACAACATGATCTTTACAGCAGGACTTGAAACTTCATAATATTAAATGCATTTAAAGAAGCGCCCCATAATAAAAGCATGGGTTTTCATTTCCCAAAATCAAGTCAATTAGAAACTCTAGTTTCTACTTAAAAATCCAATTTTGATCTAAAAGTGAAAACAGTTCCCTATTCATAGTCATTTATAAACTCTACACAGTTTCACTTGCAGAGATTTATTTTTTCCAGTCTGGAAAACAGTAGTGCAATTAGTTTTACTTCTCTTAAGTTACTTAGTCCATGATGTAAATAGCTCTGTGGAAAGATAAGAAGATGCTTGGTAAACAAGAAATTTTTGCAAGCCCATGCTGGCTTACTAGTCCATTAAAGCTTGTAAGTCCATAGTGGCTTTCAACAAAATGTATACACATCACTAACAACAAAGCAGAAATAAATAGGCAGAAAGGACTGTAAACTGTCTCATCTCTTAATGATTTTTCAGTAATAACTGACTTGATGAATTGATTACCTAGTCATTTAAGCAGACAGTAGACAGCTGCCCTTAAGGACATTCCACTATGCATCCAGTCTGGAAAGCCAGTGGAATTACATTCCTAAAATTAAAACAAAAAGTAGGGAGTGGAGGGTGGGAGATAATAGTTTACAGATGCCACCTGGATGGAATTCCATCAAGTCAGCCAGGTCACTTAGATTTCTTCTTAAATAGGCTTTTGATTTTTGATGGCTTTTTGCTCTTCTCTCCATTATGACAAAGGTCATGTGGGATGCTGCTTATCCTGGTAACGCTTGCGGCTTCCTGAATGGGTTTGCTGTCGTTGCCAGCTGAAGAACACGATATGTGGCGAGGTTTAGGCACCGGGATACCACTAGAAAGCTGGTTCATGCTACAGGATTTCTCCAAGATGCCATTGTACACTTTGCTTGCAGGACTGAAGATCATACTCTTGGTTTCTGTCAGACCTACACAATCGGGAGAGCCCTGGGAGAGGTCAGTAGTGATGGGCGAATCTCCTCTGGAGGAATCCTCTAGGGAGAGCTCATCTCTTGATATCTTTCGAGGAGACAATGTCTGGTATATCTCAAGGCTTGAAGGAGGAGACTGCTTCCTCCCAATGGAAGAGTTTAAGGAGTCACATTCTGAAGCGGTGTCTAGCAGCACTTCCCTGAGTGAGACAGATGTAAAAGTATAAATTCTAAATCAGTATGTTCTTAGACACTCAGCACATATTCTACCTAAAACTGTCTTTGATTACCAAAATGTAAAAGGAGAAATGCCACAATTCTACACATATTTCTACAAAATTGGAAAGCTACAACAAAATAATGTAGCTCATTAAACTTTTTAATTTTAACATAAATTATAACAAAAAACCTGCAGTCTAAGAAACTATAACTTATGCCTTCTTCAATCACAAAAGGAATGTAAATATTTAAATATTATAGTTTGTTTTTTTTTTTTACCATTTCTACTTTTGTGTTTTTCAGTAATGAGTGTTTTTCTGAATTATAGAACTGGCACTATATATTTGAAAAGATGGAACTTTAATCACTGCTTTTCTATTTAATTTTTGGTCATTACCTTGAAGATATATAGCTTCCTAATAAAGGAATATACTACACTACAATATTAAATCTACTAAGTTTTTAAAGGGGGGCAGGGAGTTGAGGTGTGGCAAAGTAGAATAGATGAGAGGTGAAAGGCAAATATGTAATTGTTTTTTAAAAATAAATTCTCACAGAATTACTCATTTGTGAATGCCTCCCTCCTTTTCTCACAGTGCCAAGAGAAGTAAAGCAGGGTGGAAAAGTAAAAGTTCATTAACACAACAGCCATCATACAGTAAATGCCGTCAGTCATTTCTTCAGACTCTCAAATCCACCACTCCTTGTCAGCTACCATCCCTCTCTTAATAGTAACTCACCTAAATGATCACAATTGCTTCTTTGTTTTGTTTTTTTGAGACAGGGTCTCACTATGTAGTTGAGACTGACCTGGAACTCACTATGTAGCCCAGGCTGGTCTCAAACTCACAGTGATCCTCCTGCCTCAGCCTCCTGAGTGCTGGGATTACAGGCGTGGGCCACCACGCCCGGCTACAATTACGTCTTAATTGGTCTCTTTGCTTATTTTCCAGTCATTAAAGTGATTTTTAAAAAGTCAATCACAGCACATTTTTACTTGGTCTCACTTGCTCAAGATTACCCAGTGCTTTTTCTCACAGAATAAAATCCAAAGTCCTTGCCAAAACCTACGAGGCCTGGCCATCGCTCCAATCATATGCCCTGCCTCACTCCACACAGCTTCCTCCTGTTTCTCCAGCAGGCCAATGTTGGGACTCCCTCATGGCTTTGCACCCGACGCTTCCAGTGCCTCTTATTAACTTCTTGTCCAATCTCTGTGTGGCTTTCTTCTCTGTCGTTCACATTATTGCTTTCTCCTCAGAGATACCTCCCCTAACCACGTGGTGTAAAAGAGCATTCTTTTACCTTCTACCCATCTTGATCATCCTAGCATGTGCCAGTACCCTAAATGATTTCATATAAACCTGTCTAAAGTCAGTACTCCCAGAAGAAAGAAAAACTGATGGGAGGGCTTATTAACTTCTGTATTCTTTACACTGGAACAGTGGCAAAATTACAGTGGATAATTAATTAAAATGTGTTGAGTTAAAGTATGAATGAACAGAACGAGATCTTAAAAAACAGGGACCATGTCTTACTCACTTCTGTATACACTGACTCCAACATAAATATTGCACTCCATGAAAAATGATTAAGAAATAGAAGGTAAAGTCAAGGTGAAAAGTAACTGGCCAAAGAAGTACAGTGAGAAAGGGCTAGAACTAAAGACAGGACGGAAAGGCAAGAACACACAAAATTATAATCCATCAGCTGGAGGTAGACCAGGACCACCCATTAGCAAAAGCACAGCACAAAGCAAGGGTTAAATTCACACTTCCAGAAGGAATGACCATCACTTTGGATGGCCGAGGATTACTATCACTGTTCATATTATTTATACGCTTATTAGAAATATGACTGGGCCGGGAATTTAGCTCATTATCTCAGTGGTGCTGCTGCCTGCCTCGCAAGCTCAAGGACCTGACTTCAATCCCCGGTACCAAATAAAAGAAGAAATAAGGCATTTACTTTTATACTTATTTTGGGGGTACCGGGGACTGAACTCAGAACCTTGCGCTTGTGAGCATGCAGTGGAACCACTGAGCTAAATCCCTGGCAAAATATGGCATTTACTTTTGACAAGCATTTTATGTTACTACTATATTTTAGAAATAAATGAGACTAACCAAGCAAAGTTACACCAGATTCTACAATTGCAATGCAGATACAAACACTGAACTATCTCTTTCAGAATAAGGTATAATGATTACTTGCTAATCATACAATTATATTTGCCCTGCAGGTAAAACAATTAAGGACAAAAAATGATCATTTGATAATATCATCTTTAGAGTAACTAGCTAGACAGCGAGGGACCATGGAGCATTGTGCCCATTCCCTTTGTTCTTTTTATTGAGATGTTAAGACTCTGGGAAGCCACATAGCTACTAAACGGCAAAACCAGAATCACATCACTTAGTACCACTGTTTCAAAAGAGAATGTGGTTTAGAAAGGCTTCCTCGACAACAATGGGCCTCATGAAGCCCTGATGTCCTTAAACTTGACAAAACACTCCTGCTATGCCCATTTTGGGAAGAAAGTATTCTTTCTTCCTGCATTCTTGACATTTTCTTAAACCTTGGGCCTATGATACTGCTTGTGTGCAAGTACTAGCACATAACAGAAAAACAAATTGAACAGCAACAAATCATTTAAAAATATTAGTCATATTTGATGTTTTGTTATGCTCGGGTGTAAAGCTTAGGCTCTACATTTTATATATAAAAATTGTTATTGTAGCATAGTTATGATATGAGACCTGAGTCAACTGTATCCAGTGTCTTCTAAGCAGTTATTCCTCAAAACAGCTAGTTCCATGAAAGGTAGAATCCAAGATGGCTTCCCTAGTTACTCAATCCAACACAAAAAATATTAAGTGCTGTTGTGAAGGGAGTGTGCAGGTAAATTATGGCTTCAAAGTAGTTAATACAGTGAGATTATTATTATCCAAAATTATTATCCAGGTAAGTAAAGTTGAGTGTAGAGACCAAAGATGGAGGAAATCAAGAGATCAGCACTGGAGGGTTTTATAGAAGGGAAATTCTCTGTGAGTGGCTTTAAAATGTGGACCACGTGACAAGGGATAGGAAGCAGTCTTTAGGAGCTGAGAAGAGCCCTGCCCACAGAGAGCAACACAGAAATAGGACCTCAGTGCTACAGTCATAAGAACTGACTCCTGCCACACACATGAGATCTGAAGCGCACCCTGAACTCCAAATGAGAATGCAATTCAGCCCACACCTTGATTTAAGCTTTGTGAGACCCTAAGCAGAAAACCCAAACACACCAGGCCTGGACTACTGACACAGAGGACTGGGTGCTAATAACGGGTATCAAGTGAAGCCACTGTCTGTGGAACTTGGTATGCAGCCAGAGAAATCTAACACAATGTACCACCCTGCCGCATTCCCTCCGGACCTCACAGCTCACGCCCATCCAGCCCCAGCATACATCAAGTTACGCACTGCCAATACCATTGCTTTTCAGCAGTGAAGTAAATGGCCTCTTCCTCCTCTTCGTTTCGGTAGAGTGCAGGACAACTTGACACTGAGAGGATATCCGGATCCGGGGAAGGCAGGGAGTGCTGGGGGTGCTGGGGGAGCCAAGGGTGGGAGGGGTGGGGGACATGTGGAGGAAGCTGAGCTCGCTGAGACTGTGGCGAGGATGAGGATGGCATGATGCTGCGACGAGAGCGGCACAAACTGCTGCTTCTGGCTAAAGATCCAGCAGGTTTTGCCATGGTCCCTGAAAAACATAAACCAACACAGTAAGAAAGCTCACGAAGCCCTTGGCTCTCTCTACAGAACCTACAGATGCACACACACAAGAACTAATGCTGCTGATACACCACTATTCACTCTTTTCTTACCAAAGTAGGCAACTATGCAGTAATTATTCTCTTCCATCCATACTGAGAAAGTTCAAGGTTAAGATATAAAAATTTAACGAAAATGAAAAGAGGCCTAAAAATTAAACAGAAGTGAATGTAAAACAAAGTTTTAATGTAAAAATCTATTACTAACCACAAAGGCTTCAAATTTTAAAATCATGTAGTGCAATTTAAAAGGAATTTACATTTTATGTCAAAGCTTTTTTAATGAGTATTAGCTTTAAAATACTAGAAGAATTAACAGTATAGGTACATTAACCAGTGGGTATAACTTGATATATCCACACAATTTGAATTTCAAGTTTTAGTTTATGTACTATAAACACAGGGAAAGCTGCAGAAAAAATTACTTCTTAAAAATAGACTATTATGGAACTAAACATCAGTCTTAATTCACTTTATTTCTACTACCAGTCTCAGTCTAAAACTCACGCAAATGGTAAACAAACATGTCCTACCTCCTTACCAATTTCCTGAACAGACATTCCACTTCTTTCCCTTAACTCAAACACAGCTTGCCTAAGAACAAGCTTTTCAAGATCAAACCGTTCATTCCTGCACACTTCATAGGCCAAAGATCAGGACAAGACTGTGGCCTCTTTGCTACCCAATACTGCCTGCATACCCTTTATAAAAATGTGCTCCTTGGGAAGCTCAGACTGCACTAACGTCCAATTCACTGGTCATTACCCAGTCATTCTCACTCTCACCAGTCCATCCCCTCTCCTCAGTGACACGAGCAAGGACACTTAACCAGAATGGTCATCTCTCCTGCCCTGATCTTCATCTCTACTCCACCAGCCACTCTCATGCCTTGTCTTGCCATCACTCAGAACTGTTCCATCTCTTAAATTATAAATTAGGACACTAGATATTTACATTCTGATCACATTTCTACCTCCCTTGTTCACACATCCAACCCAATCATGTACTGATCCCTTTTCTGTCCCAACTCAAGAACCTTACTCGATAATTCCTTTTCCGATCTTTATTTTCAACATCCTTTTCTAAACATCAGCATTTGAAAACAAATGCTGAAAAGACAAACCTATAAAACACACAAACAATAATTATAGAAACAAGAAAGCCTGCTGTGCCCTAGAATGTTTCTCCCCTTTTTTTCCTTTTTATGGAAAAGAATTATTGTTATTGTCTCCAGTATTTCATTTTCACTCATTTGGTAAATAAACTGTAAAGTGCTTACACACTCACAATGTCACCAAAAGTACTCTCCACCAGGTCACGATCTAACGCCTGGCTGCTAAATTCAGCACATCTGACACTGTTACTTTGCCCTTTCCCTGATTTCTCTGGGGGACAATCCCACCACCTCCTTTTATCTATTACTGGTTGGCCTTCTTCAAAGTTCTGCTCTAGGCCTTGTTCTAGTATCATTTCACTTATTCATCCTGAGCAATCTGACTCACTTTCATGACTTCAGTTATCATTTATAGTCTAGAGACACCCACATTTTAACCCACATTCACTCTTGCTCCATAGACCCTTATCTCCAACTGCCTATTGGTCACTTAATGTTACACAGATACCCACTGAATTCAATATTTTCCTCTTCAAACTCATTCCTTCTGGGTCCCTTGTCCCAGGAACAACAACCAATACCAACCCAGGTATCAGAATTGTAAACACAGGTACTGTTGGACTCTTCTTTCTCCATCTTAAACCATATCACATTAATCATAAGCTGCTTCCAGGTGTAGTTCGATATCCTTCAAATCTGTTACATACCTGTATCCTCACTGCCAATGGATCATCTGGACTCTTTCACCAGTTTTCTAAGTGATCTCTCCCTTCCAATGTACTTTCCACACTGCAATGCTCAGCAGATACTGCACTCATTCCCAGAATTACTAGTTATTTGGAATACGCAGTAAAAATAGCAAGATTCAGTCAAAAGTTATGGCAAAGTCTAAGAAGCATCCAGATTAACCACTTGAAAAATAAGGGCCACAGCCAGACACACAAAAAAATAATCCACAAACAAGTATTAAGAAGTAAATAGTTATGTAAAACCCTTCACAATTCATTGAAAAACAAAGATAAAAATAAGTAAACTGGTCATATGTATTATTACAACTTAATAATCTTTTCCAAAAGTTTCTTATATGTTGCCTCTCTCCTGCCTAGAAAAATCCCTCCATTAGAGAGATAGATTGAATCCTTCCATAACTCCTTCCAAAAATTATTTACACTGTGAATTGAGGGGTCCTCATGTTGCTTGAAGAGGTCCACACAGAGCTGAATACAGTTATAACATCATAAAATTTAAAAGCACTGCATTTTGGGTTTGTAACAAGCTTTCTTTTATATAATGTGAATATAATAGTTTTATCATACCCTCAGGCCATTATTATTTCCTAGTGAAAATGAACATCATTTGTACCTATGATTTTCAATAATAGTTAAATGATACATTTAAGCTCACTAAACAAATTTATCTCATAGATAACTTTTCAGTCTAATATTAAGAATTACTGTACCAGTAAAAGCACAGAAATTTAATATGATCCTGTATTTATCACTAGTTAATGTGGTGTTTTTCAGACTTAAAATAATAATTTTTGGTTTCAGTAAGGGATTCAACACCAACCCAAACTAGCAAGTAACATACATATTTCTGATTCTAGCAACACGCCAGTAATAGACAATCTGACCACTATTTTCTAACTTCCCCAAACACATTTTAAATGCTATCAAATACTTCAAAATGTTGGATAAAATATAACAACTGTTTTAAATGCATAATGCTTGCAAGCAAGAACAACGAATTATCAGGTGCCAGAACAAAAGACTAAAAGTGAGTTGTGAGGGATGGGACAGCTGCTGTGGGAGGGTATCAATCTTAGCAATCGAAGGGTTAGGGTTTAATCCGAGGCTATCAAATTAAGCACTGAGTGCACGTGAGGCAAGTACTGGAAATTGTGTGTCCAGAAGGGCGGCATTCTTCAGTGAAACAGTGTGTTAGAAAACAAAAATCTGACCAGTATAAAGGAATTTTCTGTCACTACATAGTCTCCACATACAGGGATTTGAAAAGGCCCTGTGAACAACCTAATACGCTGGGTCTGTAACTCCTATTAGCCTGGAGTTTAAATTCATATTAACAGAAGCATCTGTGAAATCCCAATCTAAAAAGTGACATAAAGTTGGCCCTGAGTTGATGATATCCTTGAATCTACTGCCAGAAGCAAAGGAAATCATTTTGAATGGAACCCCAATCCCTCAAAAAATGTCATGCAGGGGAAAACACACAAATCCTTTTAAATCAACTCAAGGAAGAATTATACAACAAGATAGAGAAGGTAGTTATTATGCAGTCATTAGAAGCCCTGTAATAACCAACCAAGAACAATGAATAAATTATGAAAAACAAAAGGAATTTTTTTTTTTTAGAGACAGGGTCTCACTATGAAGTTGAGACTGACCTGGAACTCACTATGTAGCCCAGGCTGGTCTAGAAATCACAGCGATCCTCCTGCCTCAGCCTCCCAAGTGCTGGGATTACAGGCGTGTGCTACCACACCCGGCTTTCAAAAAGAACTTTTAAATCATTAAACTATAAGGCCAGGAATTTAGCTCAGTGGTTCCAGCGCCTACCTTACAAGTGCAAGGGCACGAGTTCAAACCTTGATACGGGAAAAAAAAAATCGTTAAACTATAAAATAATAGATGTGTGTGTGTGTGTGTGTGTGTGTGTGTGTGTGTGTATACTGGTGATCAAACCCAGGATCTTGCGCATGCAAGGCAGGCGGTGGTAAAACTGAGCTAAATCCCCAGCCCTAAAATAATAGATTTTAATGTGAGAAAACAACAAAGCACAAAAGAGAAATCTGATGAAGATGCAAAGAGAGCTAAAACAAATGAAAAACAATCATGGAAGTTAAAAATTAAAAGATGTGTTAAAATTGAACAGCTGAAGAATTAGTAATGTAGAACACAGAACTAATGAAACTTCTCTTATTGTAGCACAACTACATAAGAAGACTAAAAACAAAGGTTAAAAAACATCAAAAGTAAAATAAGATACAATGTATAAATAGGATAACAGTTGTCTTAATATTTCTACATAAGTAATACTCCTGAAGTACATATAAAGAAAAATATTTGAAGGCATAATAACCAGTAATTTTTTTCAGAAATAATAACAAGTATTTATCTTTAGATTCAAGAAACACATCAAGCCAGGCATGGTAGAACATGCCTGTAATCCCAACACCCGGGATACTGAAGCAGGACAAAGGCAAGTTTGAGGCTGGCCTGGGCAACACAACAAATCACTCTATTAAAGACAAACAAATGAACAGACAAATGTGAGAGGCCCATCAAATTATCAGTCTAAAACTTCTTACAAACCCACATCCAATCTTACTGTAATGACACTACATGATATCAATGAATACGTTTCCAAGAGTCAGAGAAAAATAACAGATTTACTAAAAAGAAACTGGAAATTTGACTGACTACCAACTTCTCAATAGCAACAAACAAGGCAACTTCAAAGTATTCTGGAGAATACAGAATCAAATTCTGCTGCTCTAGAATTTGATACCTACTTACCCTATTCCTCTCAGTTGAGAGTTAAAGACATTTTCCATCAAAGACTTAGAGAATTTATCACTTCTAGTTGCCCAATGAAAGAACTTTTACTAAAGAATATATTTTCAAAATAGAGGCAAGGTGGGGGGGTAAAAAAACAAAACAAAACATACTGAGTCAGACATGGTACTGCACACCTGTAATATCAACACTCAGGAGTCTGAGGCAGGAGAACTGCTGGAAGGCCAGCCTGGGTTACACAGCTGAGCCCAGCATCAGCTTGGACTATATACATGTTTTA